GTAGCTTGTCCCTTTGGAAATTTTAATCTGGAAAATCAGAATAGGATGCCGAAGGTTGTGCATACACTATACGAAAATTGAATGATCATCCTCGTACGGAATTTTTCTTCCGATTTTCTCATAGTGTGTACCCCACTTTAGGATGGAACACTGCAGCACTGAGATGCCACAAGGGGGAAAACAATTATTTTATCTAAAGAAGATGTTAGTTGTATATAACACACAGTGATTCAGCAAACTAAGTTTCATTCAGTAAGGTGAAGTTTACACATGAAGCAGATTTTGACACCTCTCTGAAAAGCAATCCAGGGTGGATATCTTTTTGGAGGTGCTTGACAGGCTGTGAGGAGGTGCTATACTCCTGTTTATGACACAACCACACCACAACCACTTACACTGTACATGGTTGCAAAGAGGCCGCATTCACCTAAATGAGTTTGTGCTCAGCAATGGCACTGTCCACCAGACAAAACGAGGATAATTCTTGCTATGGCTGTGACATGTATACAACTTCATCTTGCTGCCTTTGTGTGGCGTAAGGGGGGCAGTTCGGGCAGTAAAATCATGGCTCAACTGCCTGTTTACCACCCCCGACGTGTAAACAAGCCCTTAGGATTTACATCGATTTTACGTTTCTTGATAATCATCTCTTCTGTCTCAGTCCACCAATCCTGTTGAAAATATTGTCTTACTCTGTGTCCCTCCCTTTTACCCAGTATATTACATGAATGGAGTTACTTTATCATCTTATCAATAGAAGGGCCCATTACATTCTGTAATGCTTGCTTGCTTTTACCAGTAATCTATCAATGTCAAGAATGTTTTTTAATGCATGGGTTTTGCGTTTACAGCTTTAATTTTAATACCTGGTTTTATGCTATCTGTAGTGTAGCACCCTCCTAGATAGCTAGGGGGAGATAAATCCTAATTGTTATGCAGAAGCTGAATAGCAGCCTTGTGCAACAGTTTCAACAGTTTCAGCCCTTAGAAGTGGAGGAACAAGAGGACTGGTCCCTGGAGGAGTCCAAAGAGGAGTAATACTGAGGGTATACCACTGAGAACCATGAGTCCTTGATAGGGCAGTCAGGGACCTCACACAACCCAGAACCTGCTGAAGCTTCACAAGGGGCTGAGCCTGTCTGGATGTCTCCTCAACAAAGGCTTGAATTCACTAAGCCAGGACCTAGAACCATAGCCAAGAACCGGGAATTTCAAATACTGGTTCGTAGGGCCCCTAACCCCTGTGTCTACCCAGGAATGGGAAGCAAGGACAAGTTGCCTTGGTTCTCTAGGTTCTAGAGACTTATACAGAAGTGAGTAGCTCTGGAGTGAGGATAGGACTACCCTTATGTTTCCCAGAGTGTCATAGACATCATCAATGACTCCAGGCAAGAATGGGAGTACAATCTTGCCTGATACTATTTGCATGTCCCAAAGCCCTTGAGGGCTCCTTACATTACATACATTTGGGGCCAATTCTTGGAGATTAAGGAGGAGTGGAGCAGAGATCAGGCCATCTACAAAGACAGAGTGGTGGTTATGAGGACAGGAAGGCCTAAGGTAACATACTCCATTTCTGCTCACAGGCCTGATGGCTCCTCCTTTAAACTGCCCAGCTCTAAGCACCATTATTGAAGAAGGATTCCCACCCAAGTTGGACTTACTTGTGTTTTTTTTTGGACTATGCCGAAATCTGCTTTTTTGTTGCTCCAGACCTGGTTTGACAGTATCCTAGGAGACTGTTTAGTCCTTGTTACATCTTTAAGAGGGGATCCTCCCCTAGTTATGCTGAAGTGCCTTATTGAGATAGTTAGTCGGTGCTAGGGCTGTATTTGTTTTTCCTTGTTTTTATGTCCACTGTTCTGCAGGTTCTCCATACGGCTGTCTCCCTGCGTCAAGGACATGGAGGAAGACTTACAACTCTTATGGAGGATTTCCCTCATGGGGGAGGTGTTCCATAGGCATGCATTGTAAATTTGTACATTTGGCTCCTGTCCATGATATGGTATGGTATGAACTCCCAGTTCCTACCACACTCCAAAAACATGTTGGTAGGTTAATTGGCTCCTGTCTAGATTGGCCCTAGTATGCATGTAAATATGCTCCTACTGTAAATTTGTACATTATGAAAAAATGTCTATATTTTTCTACAAATACTAATTTTGTAAATACATTTTTCCCTCTTCCCAGTTTTTAACCTTTTCCCCATCCCAGTTTTTGTATGGCATGCCCCGTTCAGGAGCCATTTTTGTCTTTTATCCCCCAGCCAATAAGGACATGGCTGTTTTCAGTGGGGGTGAATGTAGCACCCTCCTAGATAGCTAGGGGGAGCCAGTTCATGATTGTTAGGCACAGGCAGTGTAGAAGCTTGGTGCAGCAGAGGGAGGTCAAATTGTGGTCGGGGGGCTGAGAGGCTCTGCAGGAATTTCCCCCTGCTCTAGAGCTTTGGAGAAAGGTCTAGATACAGTGGACAGATCTGAGAAGTGGCTGATTTGTACTCTTAGGGGATCCTGGCCAATACCCAACAGGAGGCTTTGGCTAGGGGCCAGGACAACCTTTAAGAGTAGCTATGCTTGTTTACAGCAGGAGAGCTTAGGTGGAAGAAAGAAGGATGTGAGGCTGGAGGCAGGAGCCTGTGAGGGGGCCCTGATGGATAGGGGCCCACATGCAGGCAGAGGACCTTGGAAGGCCGAAACTTCACCGGCCCCCTCAGATGGGATCACCTGTGTGGCAGGGGAAAAGCAGCCAAATTAGAAGGCCAGGTAGCAGCCACGACTCACTGGCAGCACAGGAAAGGGACCAAGTGAGTAAACCTGCACCCCCTGGGCCAGTAAGGGAAAACGAGCATTATAGTGGGGAACTGGATTTGCTATCTTACCTGGTTCTGTTTCACACTGCAGTGACAGGCAATGGATCCCCTGCCCAAGGATTCACCCTGTACAGCTGGATGAGGAGAGGAGTCATCTGAGGTCTGGTGTGGTACTACAGGAGATGCTGGCTAGCTCTCCAGAAGATACATTTTGCTGTAAAGACTTGCTATGGAGTTTATCCTCAGTTGCCATTCCCTTGGACATCCCATACACCCCTTACCCTATCTAAGTTCTAAATCCTATAATAAAACTTAAAAAAAAACTCAAGGACTGGTAACTGTAACTTGATGCAAGTCTGAGTGAAGGAAATGCGTGTTTTCTGGCTGTGCAGGACTATAGGGGGACCCAAATCTATTGAAACTCCTAAAGGGGTACTGCTACAATAGTAATGATCAGGGCAGCTACACAGTGGCCCAGGCACTTTACAATCTGAAAGAAGGGGCCTGCCTAAACAACGTGCCTGTCTGTGACTGGGCAATACCTTCCCATCCTGGGAATTAGTATTTCTGAAATATTCCTCTAGAGACCTGTAGGCAAACAGGTACTCTATTATACTCTATGGCATGGCTGACCTTCTGCCTAGCTGCATAGATACAGTTATCATCCACCAATGACGATTATATTACATAATCATAGACTAGCATAGTTACTTATTATTTAGCACACCTGCCTTGCAGCATTAGGCTCCTCGGTTCAAATCCCAAATTGGGCACTACTCGCATGTAGTTTGCTTGTATGGTATAATATGGTATTGTATGAACTCCCAGTTCCTACCACACTCCAAAAACATGTTGGTAGGTTAATTGGCTCCTGTCTAGAATGGCTCTAGTATGCATGTAAAGTATAGCTTCTAGAGTGTAAGCTCCTTGGAGCTGTGTAAATTGTTGGCAATATAAATACTGATCTGGTAAACACTTGTGAAAAGTAAATAGATAAGCCTATAAAAATATCAACATCAATATAATCACATGCATATATATTTTAAATAAATAATTATTAATTCACACGTGTGTTAGTTCCCCCTGTGCTTGCTTAGGTTTCCTCTGGGTATCCCGGTTTCCTTCCACATTCCAAAGTTCGTAGGTTACTGTAAATTAACCTTTTTTCAATCAAGGAACCCAAGTACCCTGAAATACCCTCAGTTTTCTTCAGGGGTGCCTTAACAAAGTTCCTAAAAATTGCCCAAAAAGTGTATTCAAGCCAGCGGGTGGATCAATCCTGCCTTTTATTACACAGGCTTTCATTGTGCACCATCACAACCTTCCAGCCGCTGGTGTAGTAACAATCAATGACGTTGTCAGATGATAAGGAGAATGTTGGGTGACTGCATAAAAGAAGAATGAAAAAAGCAGCGCTTTCTGAGTGTAGTATGTAGGTTGAAAGACGATTTCTTAACAATAAGGCAACTCACAAGAGAAGCTGTGTAAACCGCATATCACATATAGCCATCTTTCAAGAGGGATCCTATCCAGACCACTGAAGGTAGTGTCTCCCCAGACCTATTACAGTCGCACTGGTTGTCGCCAAGGCTCCGGGCAGGCTAGGGGATCCCAATGCTGACAGCGGTGATGTCAACGAAACCGGAAGTCCAGAAGAGGCTTATGGGCATGGAAACCGGAAGTCCAGAAGAGGCTGATGGGCATGCATGCTCCTTCCTCAGGCCATCAGGTCTGCATAGCATCCTTGTTTGTCCCTCCCCTGCCTCTCTCCATCAGCACTGGAATCACATTAGCTGAATGAGGGAGAGAAACTAAGAAATGCTGGATTACTATCCAGCACCAATGTACCAGTGCAAAGCTACATATGCAAGTTTGTAAATAACAAGAAAAAAATGGAGCTTCCCCCTTGAGCATACGCCAACTGAGGAGTAAAGGGAAAGCCTCCTCTCTGCCTCATGACCCAGTCATGTGAGTTACCATTTGATCTCATGACCAGAAAAATGGGTATGAGTTCTAAAGGGATATATAATGACAGAAGATAAATTAGTCAATGGCATCTAGCAAATACCATTCTCAAGTAGACCAAGCCTTTAATGTTTATTTATAATATTACAATTTTAAAAATGTGATTTTTATAAACATATTTTATTCTCTTTTGATAAGTATTAATTTTAATTTATGTTTATTTAAATCAGTTTGAAGTTTGCAGTTTGGTCTTCAGGGCCCTCAGTCTGGACATCACAACATCCCAATCAAGGTAAGAGCCTTCAAGATGACGTGAGACATCTGCCCCTGATTGGTAGCTCTTCCGCCCATGCAGAATCCTCCAGTTGTCGAATGTTACCACTTGACCTAAACATAGAGAAAGACTGTTAGAATGTGAACATGAAATAATAGTACTGATATACAATTATAGAGAACCTGTTCGTTAAAAACAAAAATCTTCCTATAGAATTATATGTGCATTTAACATATCTTATGCATGCTATTTACTCCCTTGTGTAGACATCCAAAAGTTATGTGACGGCTGCTGGGTGCTGCCATCTTGGATGTGATAATGTCAGTAGCCCCATCTGACTCAGAGCTGCCACTCCAGTGACTCTCTATAGTATTCCACTTAACATTGCATTGACAGCTACATGATAGGCTATGTATGGAGGTGAGGGAAGGGGTGGAAGAGTTAAGACAGCACAGAGAGTAATTAAACATTCCTGGTATGCCGGTAGTATGCTGAAAGTAAATCAACTCTTCCAGTATTGGTCAAATTCCCCAGTCACTTTACAGGCACATTCAGAGTGCATAGAAAATCACTTATAGAAAGAAAAAATGCTGCAAGCAGGCATTTTAAAAAAAACATTTTTTTTCAGTGATTTTACTTGAAATTTATTGACAGGGTCTCCTCAAGACCAACTTCATCCAAAATTGGTATTTCAATTTTAGGTAGACCTCAATGGGCAGTGGCAAAACTATTTTCTTTAAATATCAGCCAAAGACTCCAATGGTAGGATTTCTTGATAGTAATCCACTCACTCACACCAGGTAATAAATGTATAAATTCTCCAATAGTTGTTTATTCTGCATTTCTGAGAACTAGGGATGAGCCAAAAGTTCAGTCTGAATGTAGGTTTAGACTGAACTTTGGATGTTCTGGTGTTCAGACAAACACTTTAGCCTGTTTGTAGCCTTGTTCTGGGGGATCCATGCTTCATATACATAGAAACAATATTTCTACCGCTTCTACCGTATATATCACAGCTTCCCACTGTCACTGGTTCCTAAAGAAGCCACATATTACCCCCCTTTTATGATTTTTAGGGGGACCTCATGCAACCTTTGCTTTCCTGGAGTCCTCCTTTAAATGTTTACCAGACCCAGAAGGTCTAGTATAGATTTCCTCAGGGGCCTTACACGTTTTTTTTTTTTTTCTGTGTGAGGTACCCCTTAAAATCCATACCAGACTCAGAGTTTGAAATGTTTTTTTTTTGGGGGGGGGGGGGTCCTAATGTGTCCCAATTGCTTGCACATTACAGAAATATCTGCTCCAAATATAAAGTCGCTTGTAACTGGATGCTTATACAATGCCCAAGCCCTACCACCTCCTGGCTGTCTGGTACTTTTTGCTGAACTTTAGTTGCAATGTACACAGGCATTTGTATTTTCAGCACCACACAATGCAAGGTATATGAGTAGGGTATGCTTACAGCCAAACATTGATGGATAATGAGTGCTGTATAATTTTCTATGTGGCCAAAATCCTTTCCCAATGGAAATTTGCAACCAAAACCTAGCGAGAAGGAGCAACTGTGGAGCCAAACTGCATTGTCTTTGCTGGTTAGTTTGTGCCCACAATGCAGCAGTATTAATTTGCCAACAAACATTAGCTTCATTTAAAAGCCCACTATGTATTCAAATAATGTATTAAAGAAAAAAAATCAGACATGAATAAGTTGACATGGGTTCAGAAAGCTGTACAAAGAGAGAGCGAGTTCAGTGAGAGAGTCTGAGAGAGTATGAAAGTAAACAGTTTCTGCTGTGCTTCCTTTTTAGAAAACCCATTATGCCTTGTGAATCTAATGTCATAGCTGTACCCTATATTATATGATTATTTGCAAAATACAGGTTTTAGACAGTAGAAATAAAAACAAAACAACTGTTTAAAATGCATGTAAATCTCGACAAGAAAATTTTCTTATTTGTCTCCTTTTGATCTGTTAAAGAGTAACTCCCGATTTCTTAATATATATACTATAGCCAGACTAACTATGTACTATGTACGTAACTATGTAACTATTAATAAATAAGATGTTTTAAATGTAAATATGTTGTGCCTCAAAAGTCCCAAATCATGATATTTGTTGGCTCTTGGCATCTTGATGTTCTAACAGGCATGTGGCACTATGGGGGTTATGTACTAAAACTGCATGGTACAAAATCTGTTGCAGCTGTGCATAGAAACCAATCAGCTTCCAGGTTTTATTGTCAAAGCGTAAATGAACAAGCTGAAGGTAGAAGCTGATTGGCTGCCATACAAAGCTGAACCAGGTTCTGAGTGCTCCTGTTTTTGTAAATCACCCCCCATTAGTCTAAAGTTTTATTTGTTGTCTCATTGAAAAAAAAAAGCTCTCCAAGGGCTTAGGACGACAGAATGCTTAGTGCCTTTGTTGTGAAGATGGGAGAGCGAATACGTTTGGGAAGTTTAGCAAAAAGAAAACTGGGCAGGGCTGACACCAAACAATCAACAAAAATGCTGTGTTTTTCCAGCCCACAACAGAACTTAGGAGTGCATTTTTGGCAGATCAACATGTTTTCTTCTGCACTTGCAAGGTCTTTAACCATTTCCCGACCGCCCTATAGAAGAAGTACTGCTACCGGGCGGCAGGACTGTGCAAAATCACGTATACTGTATATATGTGATTTTACATTTCAGGGGGCGCGAGCACGCCGCCCTACCTGCACCACCATTGGCGGCTACAGCTGTCGCTCGCCGGGTCCCGGCTGGAGATTCCCTGCCAGCACCCGGCGATCGTTGAGGAACAGTGAAAGGGGAGAGGTCTGTGTGTAGACAACACAGGTTTCTCTCCTGTCAGCAGTAAAATGCTGCTGTGTATTTCCTCATAAAACACACAGAGCACACTTAGTAAAACAGCACACAGTTAACCCTTTGATCACCCCAGATATTAACCCCTTCCTGCCCAGTGTCATTAGTACATTGTCAGTGCTTTTTCTGAGCATTGATCACTGTATTAGTGTCACGGGGATGTCAATGGCAGTTAGTTCCTCCCTAGTGTCAGAATGCCCGCCACAGTCCTGCAGTCCCGCTATAAGTCACTGATCGCCAACATTACTAGTATAAAAAAAATGTTTAAAAAATTCCAGTGAATATACTGCCGTTAGTAGACACTATAACTTTCACGTAAAACCAATCAATTTACATGTATTGGGATTGTTTTTAGCAAAGACATGTAGCAGAATACATTTTATGACGAAATATGATTTTTAATTTTTTTTTTTACTGGACATGTTTTATAGAAAAAAAAAGTCAAAAATATATATATTTTTTCAAAATTGTCAGTCTTTTTTTGTTTATAGTGCAAAAAATAAAAAATGCAGAAGCAATCAAATACCACTGAAAGAAAGCTCTATTTGTGGGAGACATTACATTTCATTTGGGTGCAGTGTTCCATGACAGCGCAATTGCCAGTTAAAATAACACAGCGCCCTAACGCACAAAATGCCCTGGTTAGGAAGGGGGATAAATCCTCTGGAGGGCAAGTGGTTAAACTCTTAAAATATGGGGGAAATGTACATATAATAAACAGATGTACTGCATGTGTTCTTATTTTGTCATGACAAAATTTCCCTTTAATTGAGTGCAGGAGCAAATGATTTGTTATGAAACCTGCTTATGCTATACCAGTGGTCGGCAAGCCGTGGCTCGCGAGCCACATGCGGCTCTTTACAAGCTTAAATGCGGCTCTTCTGTGTGCCGGGCGCCCTCTCCCCTCCCTCCCCTCCCTCCCTCCTCTCCCTCCTCTCGGACGGGCGTGTGCCGGGCGGGGCCGCCCCCTCACCTCCCCTCCCCTCCCCTCCCTCCTCTCGGACGGCCGCCCGCTCCCCTCCCTCCTCTCGGGCGGCCGCCCCAAAAGTCAGGACTCTGCAGCTGTCAGGATGTAGGCGGGGCAGCCAGGATGTAGGCGGGGCAGCGTGACGAACTCCTCTCCTCTCACAGTCCGCCCTGAAGACCAGAACGGCGCGGGAAGCACGACGAGAGGAACGCGCGGAGCAAAGGTAAGTGAATTGACACAGGGGGGACTTACTATATGGGGGATGAATTTCTATATGGGGGACTTACTATATGGGGGGGGACTTACTATATGGGGGATGAATTACTATATGGGGGGGGGACTTACTATATGGGGGATGAATTACTATATGGGGGGGGGACTTACTATATGGGGGACTTACTATATGGGGGACTTACTATAGGGGGGGGGGGACTTACTATATGGGGGGGGGGGACTTACTATATGGGGGGGGGGGACTTACTATATGGGGGATGAATTACTATATGGGAGATGAATTACTATATGGGAGATGAATTACTATGGGGGATGAATTACTATATGGGGGATGAATTACTATATGGGGGATGAATTACTATGGGGGATGAATTACTATATGGGGGATGAATTACTATGGGGGATGAATTACTATATGGGGGATGAATTACTATGGGGGGGATGAATTACTATGGGGGGATGAATTACTATATGGGGGATGAATTACTATGGGGGATGAATTACTATGGGGGGATGAATTACTATGGGGGGATGAATTACTATGGGGGATGAATTACTATGGGGGATGAATTACTATATGGGGGATGAATTACTATATGGGGGATGAATTACTATATGGGGGATGAATTACTATGGGGGATGAATTACTATATGGGGGATGAATTGCTATGGGGGATGAATTGCTATATGGGGGATGAATTGCTATATGGGGGATGAATTACTATGGGGGATGAATTACTATATGGGGGATGAATTACTATATGGGGGATGAATTACTCTATGGGGGATGAATTACTCTATGGGGGATGAATTACTATGGGGGATGAATTACTATATGGGAGATGTATTTTCAGTTTTAAAAATGTGGCTCTCAAAATAAATTTCAATCGTGGTTTTGGCGAGATTTGGCTCAGTTGAAAAAAAAGGTTGCCCACCACTGTGCTATACCAAGTAAATGAAGATCTAAAATTGATAAGAACCTGGTAATTAGCGAGGAGTAAATGATATGACTAACCTGGTTTCAATTTGAAACAGAATGTATTCTTCGGCTTATTCATAATGCTGACAAACTCTTTTAAGGAGGAGTAAAAAGGCTGCACCTTCTCTGCTGGTATGTTGAGTATAGAGTCCCTTGTTGAATTATTAAAATTAATTTTCAAAAGATCTCCATTCTGATCTAACCTAAAAAAAAAAAACAGAACTCATAATCAGGCAATTTCTTTTCAACGTATAGCCATCGTATGCAAGATAGGAGCAGTATGACAGTAGAACACTCATTTTTCAGAAGGAAAATAATCTTAGATTGTAAGCTCCCAGGATCAGGCCCTCCTAACCCTCTTGTATTGAACTGTGTTGTTGCTGTATTGTCTCCCTTTATATTGTAAAGTGCTGAGCAAACTGTTGGCGTTATATAAATCCTGTATAATAATAATAATATTAACTATGACCAAAGAAGGCTTATGTATATAATATATATTATATATTAATATATATAATATATCTGCCAATCCCTCCACTGGCTCCCAGTTGCCCAACGGATAAAATTCAAAACACTAACACTAACTAAAAAATTTATTTTTTGTTTTATTTATCAAAAAATAAAAAAACTCAGTGGTGATTAAATACCACCAAAAGAAAGCTCTATTTGTGTGAAAACAATTATAAAAATTTCATATGGGTGCAGTGTTGCATGACCGCGCAATTGTCATTCAAAGTTTGACAGCACTGAAAAGCTGAAAATTGGCCTGGGCAGGAAGGGGGTATAAGTGCCCGGTATTGAAGTGGTTAAAGTAACGCAGTGCCGTAATGCATAAAATGGCCTGGGCAGGAGGCGAGGTAAATCCTATGGAGGGCAAGTGGTTAAACAGCGTTGTTGATTAGACTACTATGGAGCTGGCGTGGTAGACTGTTGGAGAGTTGACCACTGCTCTCTCTTGAGAGGAGAAGTCTGACTCTCCAGCATGCTGCAACATAGGTCAGCTTAGTACAGTTTAACATGCACATAGTAGTGGGGAAGAGTAAAAAATAATGCCATATCCTTTACTTTTTATGCAGCCGGACTGCATAACAAGTATAACAAGCAATTGGGCTTCAACTGAAACACTGAAAAAGCAAGTTGACTGTGCTGTGTGGCAGGGCTTTGCAAATCTTTACTTTTTAGTTTTGGATAGAGTGGAAAGGGATGAGAACACCTGTCAGTTTTTATTGCTCTCTGTGCCCCCTTTAGAGAGATTCACCCCATCTATTTGTCCTGTTTAAGGTTTTCACTGAAAGTGAAAGGAAAAGAAAATCCCAAATGCTGGGTCCACATCAGAACAGGAACAGAAGGGAAATTTCCCACATGGAAGAAAGATATACAATATATTTTTAAAATATTATTCCCAAATATATTGACATATATTTGAAATACTACAATTTTGGCCATATTCAATAAATTTTAAAATATATTTCAATATATATATATATATACTGCATGTTGAAATGCATTTTTATTACAAAAAAATGAAAAATATTTTTAAAAATACATTTCAAATATACCGTCTGTCTTTAAAAATACAAATCTACTTCATTCATTTGTTTATTCATTTGGACAGCACAGTGGCTAAATGGTTAGCACTTCCATCTGGCAGTACTAGGGACGCTGGTTTGAATCCCAACCATGAGATGTTCTCCCTGTGCCTGCTTGGGTTTCCTCCAGGCACTCTGGTTTCCTCCCACACTCCAAAGTCATGCTGCTAGGTTAAATGGCCCTAGCGTATGTATGAATGTGAGTTAGGGACCTTAGATTGTACACCCCTTGAGGGTTAGGGACAGGGGTGGACTGACAACTCATGGGGCCCCTGGGCAATAGGGGATCATGGGGCCCCTGTGTCCTTGCCCAAACTCAAAAAAAGCCTATGAAAAAGGTACCAGGGGCATCTCATGGGGCCCCCTACTGACCCTGGGCCCTCGGGCAGTGCCCGAGTTTCCAAATGGTCAGTACGCCCCTGGTTAGGGACTGATGTGAATGTATAATATATATGTAAAGCGCTGTGTAAATTGACAGAGCTATATAAGTGGATACAAATGGAGAAACAGAAAAAGGGTGCACCGACCTAGTGCATTGTCGTTTAAAATAATTTATTAAAGAAACAAAAATAGGTATCATACTCACAATGGACATTGGCTCTGAGGAAGAGGTTGTGTCCTCGAAACGCGTTAGCCAGTTGGTCATCCAGGGTTCCATCATATGGACTCAGATGTTGTTTGGATCATACATCTTGTTCAGTTTGACATGCCTGTGTTATTATGTCCATTGTGAGTATGATACCTATTTTTGTTTCTTTAATAAATTATTTTAAACGATAATGCACTAGGTCAGTGCGCCCTTTTTCTGTTTCTCCATTTGTATCCAGGGTATTCGGACCACCCCGGTCTGTTGAGGGCAGCAAGCAGTGCATATTCCCCAGAAAATTCCAGAATATTCCTATTGGGTCTACTGAGTCCTTTCCTAGCACAGGAGTAAAGTGTTTGTTGTGTTGGAGCGCTATATAAGTACCTGAAATAAATTTCAATGGCCAGAATAAATTATTACTCTGGTCAATTTAATGAATTAACACCCAAGCACTTCACGCTTGTAAATGTAAAAGTGTCAGGCGTTTTTTTTCTGCAAAAAACACTGCTGCCAGGAGGAAGGCTTCTAGGAGGGTTTTTTTTCCCATAGCGTCCTGTATGCAGGAGGCCTAAATGATATGCTATACATATTTTGTCCAGCAAGAGGCAGTATTTAACTATCTCTTAGCGTCTCTTCTTTTGAACAAGGAGCACAAACTATCTCTGATTGGACTACTTCTGAATGAGCTTACTCTATTATCCGTTGTTTGGACTGCAAAGAAAAATCACAGTAATCAATTCCAGTGTCTGTAAAGTCGATCTGCGTAGACGTGAGGATATTGAATGCGTCTGGATTCTGCTCCTTCAGTTTGTTGCAGACATGGAACCCGTCTACCACTTCACTCTCACCTCCAGTTTCGGCTTGTTTTAAACAGTGAAGAAACTGTATCTGGGAAATGGAAAATCTCACAGTGAATTCATAGGACCCACGCAGACGACTTTACATAGTTCTCACATGTTGTTTTACATTATAATACTGACATCACCCATGGTATAATCAATTCATACAGCAACAATTAACCCCTTCACACCTAAGGGGAAAACAAATCGAAATGCCCAAGCACAAATTCCCATCGTTGCATTTACATATGTAAAAATATATGCTAAAATGACTTTTTTATATGTTAAAAAAAATCTGAAAAATATATATTTTAACCACTTCCCGACCGGCCGTTGCATATAAACGGCCGGACGGTGGCAGTGCAGGGTTGGGTGGCCATTTATAAATGGCCTCCCCGCACCCTCCTTGTGCGCGTAAAAAAAATGTTTAAAAATTATAATTTTTGGTTATAAACTAATTTGGATTTTTTTTTTTTACTAAAAAGATAACGGAATAAATTTTGGCAAAGATTTATGATGAAATATTATTTATTTGCAAACTTTTTTTAAAAAAAAACACTTTTTTTTCCAAAATATTTGGACTTTTTCATTTACATAGCACAAAAAATAAAAATCCCACCACATACCACCAAAATAAAGCTTTATCTGTCTCAAAAAAATGGTAAAAAATTCATTTGGGTACAGTGTTGCATGACCCGCGCAATTGTCATTCAAAGTGTGATAGCGCTGAATGCTGAAAATTGCCCTGGTCAGGAAGGGGGTAAAAGTGTCCGGTCTGGAAGTGGTTAAAAATATATTTTTGCACTGCACTGTTTTAGATGGTATTTATCATTGAGGAGGTGTTATGAAAACATTTTTTTGGTGTCAGCTAGCAACCCACTAGAGATTTTTATCTATGACTGCGTGGATTGATTTTTGATCAATCATTTTTAACAATCCTGATGTTACATTTAACTTGCATACCTGGCAAAAATTAAAAGTGAAAACATTGGACATTAAACTCCCCTCCAATCCTCCCAACCTCCAGCCCTATTTTGGATGATACATAGCTAAGAGTTTACCTTTCATCAAACCTGTCCTGCTAAGGCTGGCCATACATTATACAATTTTCTTGAGATTTTTGCTTTACATTTACCAAAAACCATATAATAGGAGGTCAAACCCAAACAACACTTTCGGTTGTATCCAATTAGGCAGGCCCTTGCACTACGCAGTTGAAGGTAAATTTAAAGGAACTTGGACAGAAAATTGTATAGTGTATGGCCAACCATATCATAATCATGATGTGATTTCAAAAATATATGGAATACCTCTAGGGCCTTGTGTGCATATTTTGCTCATCTACACAAGTATGATTGTTGTTGGACTCGCCTCTCTCTTCTATACACTACCGGGTGTGTTTAACCTCCCTGGCGGTATTCCCGAGTGTAGCTCGGGGTAAAGTTTCAGCACCAAAAGTGGTAACCCCGAACTACACTCGGGAATACCATGCGGCGTTGCACAGGGATTCCCTACAGCGCTTACCTTGTCCTTCGCTCCCGCGATGCGTCCCCTGCAGCGTCCCCGGCCATCTCCTCCGGCCGATGACGGCATCCGGCTTCTGTGTTCCGGTCCCTGTGACGTCGGGACGTACGGGCGCCGGAACCGGTGACAAATTTGAAAATTTTAAAAAAATTAAATTTTTTTTAAAACGATTATTTCATAGCAAAACATTCCTGTATCAAACAATTTCACATACATTTTGTCCCTACTGCTTTGTCCTGTGCCCTGCCTGCATTTTGACTGTTCTTTCTGCCTGGAAACTGAGAAAAGTCCATGGTGTCCAAAAAGCGTCCCTTTAGCTCAAAATCGGTTTTAGACCAGCTAGAGAACAGCGATAGTAAAATTAGAACTACTTGCAGAATTGAGTGATAATGATTCATGGGGGAAATTTGTCATCAGACACTGAAAACGATTCTGCGATTTTGCCCAGTGATGTGCGAACTTGGCGCTATGTTTCAAATTTCAGTGTTTTTGGTTTGATTATATTATTGAATTAAATTTATTATTATTATATTATTATTTTTTTATGAGTATTTATTAAGTAAGTAATTACTAAGAATTACAGGCCTACAATACATAACACCAAATTTCCATGCAAAAAAATGGTACCGCTTTTGGTACAAAATTCCTGACATAATCATACCGACAGGGAGGTTAAAATGGTCACCTTTTATTCTTATTCTTGGTTTGGAATTAAACTTTTTGGAACTGCTTTAAATGAGTTTTTAGTTTGTATTAATTGTTATTGGGAGATGTTCTATAAATTCTGTGTATACTGAATATTGATCAATATTTTGATGTTTTAAAAACATGCATAACTCTAGGTTCACACTTTTGCGGGAGTGCAGCCTGTGTTTGCACGGGCATGGCAGCCCATTCATTTGAATGGGGTGCTGTGCACACATTTCCTGCAAAAAAAAAGGTGCATGCACCTTTTTAAAAATTCGACCGCAGGTAAATTGCATGGTGCTTTCGACCATGTGATTTCCTTGTAGTTCCTGCAGACACGCTGTGGGTTGAGATGCGTGGGGGTGCCATTAAGAATGAATGGCAGCCCCATGCATCTCGTAAGAGCGGTTTACCTGGGGGTGGCTGCAGGGTGTAGGAACAGGTACGATTCCCACACCCGTAACCACACACAATAGTGTGAACTAGACCTAAGGCCTCACTAGGCTGCCAGCCAGCCTAGTGTGCTGCAATGCCAGGAGCATTCTGATAGGGGGAGAGAGCAGAGTGACAGTGTGGGATTCCCACACCCACAACCAACGGCAATAGTGTGAACCAGGCCTAAGGCCTCATGCACACTCCAGCTGTCAAGCTGCAAGCCAGCCTAGTGTGCTGCAATGCAAGGATCATGCTGATAGGAGGAGAGAGAAGTGTGACAGTGTAGAAACAGGTGCGATTCCCACACCCGCAACCACTGGCAATAGTGTGAACCAGGCCTAAGGCCTCATGCACACTCCAGCTGTCAATCTGCAAGACAGCCCAGTGTGCTGCAGTGCAAGGAGCATTCTGATAGGGGGAGAGATCAGAGTGACAGTGTAGGAACAGGTGTGATTCCCACACCCGCAACCACCCGCAATAGTGTGAACCAGGCCTAAGGCCTCGCTAGGCTGCCAGCCAGCCTAGCGTGCTGCAGTGCCAGGAGAATTCCGATAGGGGGAGAGAGCAGAGTGACAGTGTAGGAACAGGTGTGATTCCCACACCCGCAACCACCCGCAATAGTGTGAACCAGCCTAAGGCCTCACTAGGCTGCCATCCAGCCTAGCGTGCTGCAGTGTCAGGAGAATTCTGATAGGGGGAGAGAGCAGAGTGACAGTGTAGGAACAGGTGTGATTCTCACACCCGCAACCACCTGCAATAGTGTGAACCAGGCCTAAGTCCTCATGTACACTGCAGCTGTCAAGGCACAAGACAGCCTAGTGTGCTGCAATGCAAGGAGCATGCTGATAGGAGGAGAGAGAAGAGTGACAGAGAGATGACGTTATCGGTGTGCTATTTCTCCTTTCACTGTGCAGTCACAGGGTGGTGGTGGGAAGGAGACCTGTTTCTGAAAGTGAATTGCATCAGAGAACAGTCAGGTCCCTTTCCTGTTCCAAGGTGTGTTGCAGAGCTGTGCAAAGCTCAGGAATGGGTGGAAATTCCTATGGCAGGTAAAACAGCTCTCATGTATGTTTTTCATATGTGTATTTAGCTATTCCCCTGGAGCTCTGGATTGAAAACAAAACCCCCCAAAGTTAATAATGTCTGTTTGCATTTGTTATTAACACACATGTGTCCTGAACTTACACATTTAAATGAAGATTCTGTTTTAGTAGATTGCTCTCCTGGTATATATACTCATCCTCTGCTGTCCTTCCAAGAGATACAACCAGGGGGATGCAGTCATGCAATGTTATAGTACAAGCTTTTACAAGGGAAAACAATGTTTGCAAAGATGGCTTTCTGATTTTTTTCTAATGGTGGTTAACACTCACATCTTAATGAACTACATGTGGGGACTCCATAGTCCTTGATGTTTATATTGTCTGCTCTTTATAATTACTGTTGTGCTATTGTTTGTATTTAATAATGTCTGCGGGTTTTAATTGAGATAACATAAATCACACAATACCAGTAACATAAAAACGTCAGCCAAAGACGTCATATACAGATTTACGGTCCAAGTGAATCCATACTGTTGTGTTTGCATGAGAGGCTGAGAAGCGGACAGGATTTCTGAATCCTATGGGTGTATGTAATCCTTGGCATGCTGACGTTATATGACCTCAGACACATCTGTTCTCATGTATACAGTACTCTACCTATGTTTTTTCTTTGAACTTTTACAATGCTTCCAATTAGGAGGATGTATGTTATTGGAGCAACAGCTAAATGGGTTTTCAAGAGCTATAGTGAGTGTAGGGGAGAGAGCCTTAAAGCAGGACTGTATTCAAAAATAGCAAGATAAAAGTGGAATAGTCCACTAAAAGATAAAATAGCAAAACCAACTTTTGCTGCAACGTTGAATTTTAATCCAGAGATTTCCCCTGCAGTTTCTGCCACTAGATGTCCTCGGTCTGATGGCCAGCATCATTCAACTCACTTCCTCTGAGCCCAGGTTGTTGTGGATCCACCCCAGCCTGTGACTTGACAATGAAAGAAGAGGCAACACAGTGATGAGCTCATCTTTCCATCACTTTGCTTTCTCCTCCTATCAGCATGCTTCTTCCTCTCACACTTAAGTCTTTCTATACAGGGACCACAAGAGACTGATACCAAGCATAGCGCAGACTCCTGTACAGGTTTGTCCCAGGTTCTCTTCCCATTTGGGGCCCCAGGCAGTCAGGCACACAACACTTGAACAGTCTCTCTCACAATAACCAGGCAATGGAAGTCTTTTTATGCTTTATTGCTGGTTAAACTTGGATGGGGTACAGAGGAGCTTTGGGATTTTCCAGAATTTAGTGCACAAAGTATTTGGAGGACACTCTTTATTCTGTCTTTTCATCCCCCCACCCCCCTTTGCAGAGACTAGAGACACCAGCATTTCTGGGACTTCCAACAGGGCAGATCCAACTTTAGCAACACTGACACAGTCACACAAGGGGTTAAACAGCAGACAGGCACCAGGATCACAGTTCCAAGCCTCTACTCACTGTGTCTTCAGATACTTGTATACCTCCTGTCCAATACTGACTAGACACTGTAGTGGGAATCTCCAGGCTGGATCCTCAGTGAACCCCCTTTACTTGGCTTGGAACTGCCTTCAGGAAGATAGGCCCCCCAGATCCCACTGAGCTGGAACCTTAAGAAATAGTCTGTAATAGCCTTGGTGAGCTCTCTGCAGGCTTCAGCTAACCAGCCCAGAAGGGCAACAGCCCTTCAGGCTGGGATCTCCTCCTCCAGGACAAGAAACCTGCTGTTTCAGGCCTCACACTATTTATTTCCTTCTCAGCCACCTACTGAGCACTCCCCCCTCCAGGGAATGGCTGGGGCCTCATGAATATTGAGGCCCAGAGTCTGCCTCTTCCAGCCCACTACATTCTAGAACCTACTAGAAGGCAGGGAAATAGTTGAGCCTGCAGCCCGTGAGACCCAAAGCAGCCAAAACTAATTACACACTGCTCCACTGTGTGCAGAGGAGCCAAAAAGAATACATTTACCTGAACCTCCCTAGCAACTTATTCTAGGAGGGTGCAACACAAGTCATGTCCAGGTATTTATACTGTAAATTAGTTAAGGCTTGTTTACATGAGCAGCACTCTCTGAATACTTATTTCTCTGGATTTCTTTTTAGGGGTTGGTAGAATGTTGTCTTCCAGGCATTTAGGAGGCAACACTGGGAACAGGGATTTTGAAAGTTGTTGCAGCACAGTCCCATTCACTTGGCAGTGGTACTGCCTGCCCAAACACAACCTGTTATAGAAATGCTGCTATCCTGCACCACAAACATGGCAGCATATACTAACATGACCCATGTAGGTTGCCATCTTGGCAGTCAGGGGTGGGGGTGGGAGGGTATGGGGTAAAACTGCTTTTTTTAACACTCCCCTGCCACCTATGTAATAAAGCCATTCAACCTGCCTTATTTCCTGGCTGCGGGATGTCCCTGGCTAACCTCTTTCATTCACTGGGTTTCAGTTCTTTTAATCCTGGAGATTCAGCATCACATGTGGGTGTTAAATATAGTGATCTGCATGCAAATTCAGCCTGTCAAGGAACATCCATTCCTCCAGTCTGACACCAACCCATAAAGACATTTTCATATTGGCATAACTCTCTTAATAGACAGACCACTGCTTACATCAGGTCTGAGGGTCCTTAAAGTGGAACTACAGGCAAAACTTTTTGTTTCCATTTTGGATAGAGTAATGGAGGGTTATAGCCCCTGTCAGTTTATTTATTGCCATCTGTGTCCCACTGGGGAGATTCACCTTCACCTGTCCCATATCCAAAACAGGAAATGAGAAAATCTCTGTAAATTAAGGGAATTTCTTGGGGACCCCCAGATCACTAGAACTAATGTCCCCATTAGAAATTTTCCCCTCTGTTACTTTTCTAGTGACAACCCAAAAATTTGGGGTTTCTTTTACTTTCACTTTTGACGATAATGGTAAACAGGACAAATGGAGAGGGTGTATCACCCTAATGGGGGCACAGAAATAAAAATAAAAACATAACAGGTGTTCTAATCCATTTCTACTTTGCCCAAAACAAAAAAAAAGTTTTGCCTTTAGTTATACTTTAAGTGGCGTAGTGATCAATGTTTTAGGAAGCTATGTGCAGCACCCTGCCAGCCCCTTCCTCCAGCCATTATACAATGCATATTGGAGCACAGAGACCCAATGATGACATCACAGAGTCTGAATTAAGGTAATTAACAATTTTGTTTTTAAAAACTCATTAGGTTGTTAAAGGTGTAGGGAGGAACTCTGGCAGGCAAAATATAAGCAGAACAAACTTCAGTTTTAAAACAAAATTCAATTTTTGTTGAAGAAAACTATATCCTTCCTATGTCACTGCTACACACTATAAGGATTTATTGAATACCTGTTACTGTTATAGCTCCCTAGTTAATGGAACAGACTATTCTTTTTACACTTGCAAATCTTTCAAAATAGGTGGCAAGATGTGCCTTTAACACAAATACATCAAAAAGTCAAAAAGTTGGAATAAAACATCCAGTATCCCTTTGGAAGTGCAATGCGTTGTGTAAGTGTCTCAGCAAAGACGATATTACCAGTGTACTATATCTGGACATTGAATTTCACTATTTCACCTTCATCTTTGACCTAACACCTTGCTCAGTGTAGACATCTGGGAGAGACAGTGAGCCAACTACAGGAGCAGGGGGACGAATGTTTATGCCTAGATCTGCAGAAGACATTTCTGGTGCCAGTGGGGAAGTAATATTATATGAATGAAAAAAACAAATCTGACAACAATTTTTGTCTTATGACCCTCTCCTAACTGGACCTTCTGGTAGATCACAAGCTTAATAATGGCATGCAATGTCAAGCTGAGGTTTCTAAAGTGAGCAAAATCCTCTCTTGTATTAAAAGAGGTATAGACTCCAGAGAGAGAGATATCATATTACCCCTGTACAAATCATTAGTAAGACCTCATCTGGAACATGCAGTTCAGTTTTGGGCACCAATTCACCAAAAGAACATTGGGGAACTGGAGAAAGTACAGAAAAGGGCAACTAAACTGATACAAAGCATGGAGGAGCTCAGCTATGAGGAAAGATTAGAGGAACTGAATGTATTCTCTCTTGAGAAGAGGAGATTAAGGGGGGGGGATATGATGAACATGTAGAAATACATCAGTGGTTCATATAGTGATCTCGGTGTAGAGCTGTTCACCCTGAGGTCAACACAGAGGACAAGGGGCACACTTTACATCTGGAGGAAAATAAATTTATTCTCCAAACACGGAGAGGTTTCTTCACAGTGAGAGCTGTGAAAATGTGGAATAGACTCTCTCAAGAGTTGGTTCTGGCCAGCTCAGTGGATTGCTTTACAAAAGGCCTGGATTCTTTCTTGGATACACAGAAAATAACTGGATACTAGCATTTATAGGTAAAGTTGATCCAGGGAATATCCGATTGCCTCTCGGGGATCAGGAAGGAATTTTTTCCCAGCAGGAGCAAATTGGATCATGCTTTGCTGGGTTTTTTTGCCTTCCTCTGGATCAGCTGTGGGTATAGGATTATAACTTTTTTTTTTTTCTATGGTTGAACTGAATGGACTTTTGTCTTTTTTTTCTCCCAGACTAACTATGTAACTATGTAACCATCTTTTGTCTGAAGTACCCACAGTCACCACGAAATTTAAAGTGCTGTGTGACAATTATCTTATGTCTATAATCTCATGTGAACTGCAGCACTATAAAAGAGATTACTCATATTAAGGGGGCACATCCTAAAAAGTCCAATCCTAAAGTCCTGGGAATTATCCCTTAAAAACATAGAGAAATCCATGCACAAAAATCCTTAAGTGTATGATGGACACCAACCACCACCAACTGATCTGGATGTACACTCCCTGGACAGTAGGACCTTGCAGACATAGAGGTTAATGCACATTTGTTTCCAACATGGAACACTTTAAATGTTCCACTGTTCCCCAGTCTACAGGACTCATCCTATCCACAGGGAAAAAAAATAGAGAAAGGCTCCAAATAGTGTGATATTGTTGATAAGTTTTATTAACTTTATTAACATAATGAAGAAACAAATTTTAAAAAGCTAGCTAAAATTTACAGTGTATGCTGTCGGCAAGACTTCCGAAAGTGAGTGACATCAGTCCACTAGCTCCATGGTGGAAAGTTTAAAGTACAGTAGTTCCGACATTTTGTTCCAGCATTTTAGTAGTCTCTTTTATAGCACCGCAATTCACATGAGATTACATAGAAGGACTTTATATATCATTCTTTTTTGCTTGCTGCTTGTATGTATTAGCGTGGGTTGATCTATCCAATTTGTATCTTATCTCTATAGGTAAAATATACTATAAAATGTGGATATGTAAACCTAAAAATTAGAGTGATAGATTTTTAACAGAAATAGCCATAATGGCAAAAAAAAAAAGACATAGGAGTTAGATTATCAAATTTATAGGTTGAAAAGGGAATATAGATGTGGTACTCACATATTAACTGACAGTCAAACAAGTGTACAACTATACAGTATGTACAATTCTTGGCTATTTGAATGCTTAAAATCTGTTGTGGGACTTGTATGCACCCTAAGTGCATCCAGTACCTGACAAACTTGAATGTACACCATTTTCACTATAAATGATTTTCTAATAAGGCCATTTATACTCTTCCCCCTTTGAAGAGTGGAAAGAAATAGCTCATTGACCTAAGAAAAGAAGATGAAGGTTTTGGGTAAATATAGCCCAATATGATACATATCAAAGGCAAATGATAAAGAACTTACTCCTGGAGGATACTGGAGAGCTGGATAATCCGTGTGTAGACTTAATTTTCCAGATGTGTAGGCCACATTGTTGGCATCTACTTTGTCTTGAACATGCCAAGTGTATCTGTAAAATAACCAACCTTTATGACTATAGTGCAAAATTGTGATCTGATTATATTTTTACTTACCCTGCTACACAGAAATAAAATTTACAATTTTAGGTATACCTGACCCAACACTATTTCTTACTTATTTTGTACAGTGTTAAAAAACCCCATCAAACCAAAGAATTACAAGACTATATATCTTTAAAGCAGTCCCTAAATTTATGTTGATATCCTAGTTAGTATTCAGTTATGAATAGTACATTCCGGAGGCTGATTCCCTTGCACAACCATGGTCTTAATTGCAACAAATTTAAAGTATATGTAAAGGCAGCATTTTTTACATTTGATTATTTTTACTTTCTTTTTTACATTTTGAATAGAGTAGGGAAGGTTTATACCCTTTTCAGCCTTTTAATGCTGTCTGTTCCCCTGCTGTGGATATTCACCCCATTATTTGTCCTGTTGACCATTATCACTAAGACGTAAAACTAGGTAGTGACAAGACAGGTAGTGAAGGGAAATCTGCCCAGTGGTAAACAGACAGCAAAACATTACTTGACAGGGATTGAAACTCTTCCCTCCTTTATCTAAAATCAAAAAAACTAAGTTTTGGCTTTATGTAAATCTTTAGGAAAAAATATGGCTACAGAATGTCAATAATTGTAGGAAAAGGAGGGCAGCCACTGTCCCACTAAAACAGCATACTCAAAAAGGTGAGGGGAACTTTTAGACTTGCAAGTACAGTCGGATGGAGGAAAGCTTCAAACAAGCTCGATGGCTCTGGTGAGGCAGCACCCAACAGTAACTCAAACCATAGAAAGACAAAAAGGAGCGCCAGACCAAAATCAGATAATAGAGTCCATGATAGATTTAATTGTTGATAAAAAGTCATATTAAAAAAACCAGCATGTTTTGGGAGCAACATCACTCCCCCTTCATCAGGGCCCAACATGGGATCAAACTTGGATGGAAACAGAGAAAACAGTGACCTCACAGATCTATAATAAAAAGAGAGAGGGGCGCCAGACTAAGCACAGTATTGCCAATTGTTTAATAGCACACAATGATATGTAACTCACTAGATACAAGTGGGTCAGAGGCATGGATAGCAAGTGAACATCATCCTGGTGGAGTTCCGGAGGCAGAGAGGAGAGGGTGGATGGACATTTGGGGACCCTACCCTCTCCTCTCCTCTCTGCCTTTGGAACTCCACTAGGATGACATTCATTTGCTATCCATGCCTCTGACCCACTTGTATCTAGTGAGTTACATGTCATTGTGTGCTATTAAACGATTGCTAGTTCTGCATTTAGTCTGGCACCCCTCTCTCCTTTTATCTTCTAATACAGAGTCCAGCTTAACTCTTAGGGTGCTGCCTCATGATGGTGCTGTCTAATAACTGACTATCTCCATACCATTAATGGGACTTTAAGTTTTTATCCCCATCTCTCCAGCGCCAATAATTTACCTCTTGTTACAGATCTATATTAAAACCTGTATTGACTGCCCAGAGGTGCCACTACTACACAGAGGTTGTCCTGCAGTGATCCCATTGATCTATGCATTGCTTTCCCTGCAGCATTTCAGGTCTGTTCCATCCACATCAGGGACAGGTGGTAGACCATGGCAGACTCCAAAGTGGCAAGAGGCCTTTGGCCACCATCTTAGTCAGGTTCCTTCTTAAGGGAACAGCACCATCCTTTTGCATCAGGGATTTGTCATTTGGAGAGTTTCACCTTTCTTGTTGATGCTACAAAACTCCACTTAGAGCACTCCAACATTGACTTTGTGCTTCAACGCTGGCCACTGACAGATATTCACCACTTGCCAGTGAGAGAGTGACAAGAAGGGATGGTGTCTTTAAAGCCCCCTGTGTGCATCTCCCATAATTAGAGCACCCTCTTAAGTCAGGGTCTATGAGGTCTAAACGTCGCCCCTTAAACCAGGTTGTTGGGTCACTTTTTACTATAATTCTGTAATCAGCCCATTTGAAAACTGTTAGGGGTACAACTGTTTATTGCCATATTTTCCACTGTTGTTGCCTGAATCAACAACCCTACTTGCAGCCTCGATGTGTCAGAGAGTGCAGTACTGTCCAGTGAGTCGTCTGCACCTAGAACAGGGGAATCCAAAGTTCCAAACATTAGCAGCTCCTTCTGAGTTAAGCATTATTAAAGACTGCACAACGTGATGAAGTAGCCTGATTTAGCCATTAAATAATGTAATCCTACCAGACTTAAATAAGGGTTTTTAAGTTTAAGACATTATATAGCCCTGGGTGCATGTAAATATGTTATTACGGCTGGAAAGTTAGGACTAAAAGAACTCCATTGACGTATGTGCTTTCAATATAACAGAATAGAATATCATTTCCAGGAAAAAAAAACTTTGCTTAGCTTATAAAGGTACCATTCAGTTATTAGTACCGATATTAGTTCAATAGAGTAATATAGATGTATACATGTATGAATCCCAGATAACTCTTTTGTGACTGAAAAATGGATAGCCAGAGAAGATCATAAAATACTAACTGATTCATATTTCTGAGTGTTCCCTGAAATTGTACAAGAAATCCTTGGTACGGCACCTTCTGAATGCGGCTAAGGCCTTAATTCCCAGATACTGGAAGACCGCTCATACCCCCTCCATCCAAGACTGGATAAGAGAAGTTAATGTCATTCAGGAATTGGAACGCACGCTGGCTATGACTGATGACATGGTAACCAGATTCCACAAATTGTAGTCCTTTTGGTATGCGTTCACTTTTTTCAGAAAAGTATAAGAGGCTGATGGGCGATTAGCTTTTTTCTCTCCTGGACGTGCGGGTCATGCTGGTGAATTTTTGACACCTTTCACAGGGATGGTCCTGCCCTTACTATTGTTATTCTCCTGCTTTCACTACTAGATTTTCATTTTCTTGTGTTCATACACTTCTTTATATCTGCCTTAACAATTGTACCTGCAAATTGTAAACGTTTTAATATATGAACGCTTTCTGCAGAATAATGTTTCATTATGCTACTGAGTTTGCTCCGAAACTAATTTGTATAATTGTGTACTACATGATACGATATTATGTCATGCCTCCTTGCAGTTCATTTCTGTTCATATGTTCTGCTTTTTGTCTGAATAAAAGCCAATTGTAAAAAAAAAAATTCTAACTGATCCAACAGTCTCTGAGTTGAGAAAAAAATGGGTATTCGTCTTTGAAGTTACTGGCTGGTTGTCATCATCACTCATGCTGCAGTAGAAATCACATCTAAACATACCCTTCCCATTTATTGGTATTCTCTGGCCCTTAACAGAGAAGATCAAGCTTGTCTGCACAGTCACTAGTTGATAGTAATGACAGACAAGAACAACAAATTACAGGTGCTTGGAATTACCACTGGATATATGACTAGGACTGGCCATAGACAACAGTGTGTCTGGGTGTGCAGACACAACGTAACTGTTTTCAGATGTCGGCATTGCCAGCTTTTTGAGTGAGCATGAAAACATGACCACACTGAGGTAGGTAGATACATAGGTACTAGTTAACACAGTTTATTTTTGTTTAACAAAATTTCCTTAATATGAAAAAGATTTTATTAACAGAAAAGGGGAATAACTAAATATGGCAAATCTCATAGTATAGTTTAATGTGTTGATTTTCACTTTTATAAATATACCATACTTTCAGACAACTAAACCCAAGAACAAAAATGCAATATATTGCAGCTTACTGTCCTTAGATGTAGTGAATGCATTAGTTTTCTTTTTTTTTAAACTAAGAACATTTTCAGCAAATATGAAAAACAGCTGTTCTTGCGAGAGATTCAGTGCCCTTGTGACGCTCTCTGAAATGTACCAAAGCTATCGTCCTTCTTAGCTATCCTCTGTAAACTATCAATTGCCCTTTCCTAGTGTACATCCTCATGAACACGGGACATTTTGATAACGCTGGTAACATTAGCTGTGTAAAGTCACGTTAAAAACCTGAGTTTTTTCAGCTTTTTTTAGCATTTTTGCATTAGCGTTTAGCCACGTCTTGCCACATTTAGCAGACTTTTTCCGCATTTGCGTTTTTAGAGTTTTTTTTTACCAAAAACAAATACTTTTTTGGGTAAAAAAATGGTGGTTTGTGGCATTTTACCACGTTTTGTCGCGTTTAGCAGAGTTTTTCTGCGTTCGCTTTTTTTTAGCGTTTTTTTTCACAAAAACATTTTTTTTGTCAAAAAAAGTCCAAAAAAACGCTGGTTTGCGGCATTCTACCATGTTTACCAGAGTTTTTCTGTGTTTGCGGTTTTTTTAGTGTTTTTTTACAAAAAAAAAAAATTTGGGGGGGTCAAACAAACATCCAAAAATGCTGGTTTGCAGCGTTCTACCATGTTTTGTCACGTTAACCAGAGTTTTTCTGTGTTTGCATTTTTTTAGGTTTTTTTTTTACCAAAAAAATAATTTTTTGGGGTCAAAAAAACATCCAAAAACGCTGGTTTGCAGCATTCTACCACGTTTTGCCGCATTTAGCAGAGTTTTTCCACATTTGCGTTTTTAGCTTTTTTTTTTACCAAAAACAAATAATTTTTTCGGGTCAAAAAACATCCAAAAAATGCTGGTTTGCGGCATTTTAAACCACATTTTTTTGCCGCGTTTAGCAGAGTTTTTCTGCATTTGCATTTTTTTGTGTTTTTTTTACAGGAAAATTTTTTGTCAAAAAAAGTCCAAAAAACGCTAGTTTGCGGCATTGTACCACGTTTTGCCGTGTTATTCAGCATTAGGGTGTTTTTACAGCTAAAAAACTCCTGTAGAAACCCACTAGTCCTGGGTTTTTTTTCCAACCAAAAAACGTCCCAGCCAAAAAACATTGATTACAGTCTATGTGTGGACACATAGGATAACATACTGGGGCGTTTACTAGCTGTAGAAAAAAAAAAGTTAAAAGCCAAAAACAGCAGCTGTAAAAACGTCAAGTGTGCATGAGGACTCATGGAGATGAAGAGATACAGACGTAGTTTTGAAGTCCGTATCAGCAAAATATCCCAG